AATTTGGTGCCCACAGGAAAAAAAATTATCCGTTTTTTTCGAAAAGTTGTGACCGAAAAAGGTTAGTTCCTAACCTAACCTGTTTCATAAATAGACGTAAAACGGAGTTGGAACAGAAACAAACATGTTCTAAATGAATAAAGATGTGAACAAAACACAAGGAAGGAAAGACAGCACTCGTAAGCCAGACATATTATGTCATTCGACGTCCATAAATACGATTCAAAGGATAGATTGTTAGCTTGGGTTTTCTGACACTGTCTGTCCCCCGTGGTTATAAGCACCCCGCATAATTTAGCAAAAGTTGATCTTTTATTTGCATAATTTCTGATTTTTTGTCCCATGATCATTTTTCGTTAAAATTAACAGAATAGCATAATTTCACATTTTTTGGCTCAATTTGTATAATTTCAGAATTATTTTTGCATAAAACCGCCGGGACAGCACTGTTTTGTCCATCTAACATGCTGGTCTCCTGTCGCCGGCGAAGACTGTTGTTAGTTTTGGTGTTGCTTTTGCTTTAGGTCACAAGATAGACTGTCTTGAGAAGTCAGCCCCTCCTACTTCCATACCCTCTGTGGCCTATAAATACAATGCCAGCTCTTAGTTGGACAGCTTAGTGGCCAATCTACATACAGCGACAGTCCCCAATCGTCTGTGTACAGTCGAACCTGCCCTGACGGCCAACTCTATAAGACGGCCACCAGTACAAATGGCCTCTTTCCATTTCCCCCCTAGCGTTTTTTCTATATAATTTAACTGTGTAAAACTGGCACCTGTCCAACATAGCCGCGGCCACCATATTTTATCACACAAACCATATCACACTAAACAATAACACCTGTCTTAGACGTCCACCTCAGTGACTCCATTGCGTTTTGTAATAAATTGTGCATTGGCCCCTGGCGTTGAGGGCGAGCCATCATAATCCAATCACCTGTCATTGTTGTCAGATAGTCCCTCCACCCGATCATGTTGCATAGGCCTCTCCCACTGTTGACCAATAGGTACCAATGTTCAGCTGCTGGTGAGGTTAGCGAGTGATCCCTCATAACCCAGAAACCCCGCCCAGAACTCATACACAAATCGTATGTGAGACGAGTGGTCACTGTTTACCCAGTCTGTAACAAAGAAACAATGGACGTCAACATGAACTTGTGACAGAAGTGTCGCTCGTTCTCCGAGCGCTGGCGACCCATGTGTTTGTTTTACCCCAGCACTCGGCATTACTCGTCTGATACATTTCGTTTTATTGTCAGTCTTGCGCACAATCAGCAACAAAATAAAAATAACAACAAAAACAACAAAAACCAACAGCAACAAAAACAACAGCAATGCGGCTTCTTTCGATTGGGACCTCAGATGGGAATGGTTGGTTTTCTTCCTCTTGATCAGTCCAGTCTAAGAAGGCCACCTGTCTTATACGGTTTCCTCTTGACAATGGATGGCCGTCTTACACAGGTTTGACTGTTTTTCCTACAGACCAATGTTCCCCCACAAAGGTCTGACTGGAGTGGCTTCCTGTCCCTACCACTGACAAAGCTTTGACTGGAGTGGCTTCCTGTCCCTGCCACAGACAAAGGTCTGACTGGAGTGGCTTCCTGTCCCTGCCACTGACAAAGATTTGACTGGAGTGGCTTCCTGTCCCTGCCACAGACAAAGGTCCTCACAGAAGCAGCGAGAAGCCCGTGGTAAAAGGGCCCTTGACCCTGTTGTCGTTGTTGTTGCTGTTGTTGTAGTTGTCGTCGTTGTTGTTGTTGTTGTTGTTGTTGTTGTTGTTGTTGTTGTTGTTGTTGTTGTTGTTGTTGTTGCTGTTATTGTTGTTGTTGTTGTTTCTGTTGCTTATAAGGCCATTCCGTGGTAGATTTGAATAGCTAATCTCAGATGTGATTCTTTTCTCCCTCTCTCTATCTCTTTCTCTCTCTCTTTATATATATATCTGTCCCCGTCGTTTTAAGCAAGAAAAATTCTGAAATTATGCAAACTGAGCCCAAAAAAATGTAAAATTATACGAATCAGTTAATTTTAACAAAGTAAGTTAAAGGAAAATAATCAGAAATTATGCAAAAAATGATCAAATTTTGTTAGATTATAAGGGGTGCATAAAACCACGATATAAAAAAAAAATATATATGTAATTATATATATTGTGTATATGTGTCAAAAGGTGAATTACTTAAGCTACTGGTGCAGTCCATTTCCAAGGCAGTCATATTTTTTGTAAGGCAATAATTATTGCTGTTGTTACTGTTGCTGTTTTGGGGGTTGTTGTTGTTGTTGTTGTTGTTACTACTGCTGTTGTTTTTATCATACGTGGTAGATTTGAGTGGCTAATTCAAGGTGTGTATGTGTGTGTGTGTGTGAGAGAGAGAGAGAGAGAGAGAGAGAGAGAGAGAGAGAGAGAGAGAAAGAGAGAGTCGGAGAGAGAGAGAGAGTGTAAGTGTGTTTGTGTATGTGTGTGTGTGTGTGTGTGATTGTGAGTGTGTGTGTGTGTGTGTGTGTGTGTGTGTGTGTGTGTGTGTGTGTGTGTGTGTGTGTTTGTGTGTGTGTATATCAAAAGTTGTGAATAAACTTAAACTGCTTTTGAAGTCAATTTCGAGGACAGTCAGGTTTTTTGTAGTGTATTGTAAATTTGTTCTGTTTCCTAATGGCTTGGTCTTTAACCCATAAAGAATGATATTATCACCTGATTATTTTGTGTTTCTAGATCTCTCCATTTCATATTTACTCGACAAGGAAATCTTTAGTTAGTTGGTGGAATAACTTATATAAGATTTTTCGTACCGTTGAAAGTTAAATTTTGACATACACCACAACCAACAAGGGTGTCAAAAGAGTGGTAAATCTTTTGATAGATTCTTATTTTCCAGATGAAGAGAGATGATGAGATAACACAATAATACGCTATACCTAATCATTTCATCTTTCATTCTCTGTACAAGAAATGCTCGTCCTTGTAAAAAATACCAAAAGGAGAGATAAACAAACCAGCCATCTTGAAAAAAAAAGCTAAAAATAGATAGATAGATAGATAGATAGATAGATAGATAGATAGATAGATAGATAGATAGATAGATAGATAGATAGATAGATAGATAGATAGATAGACAGATAGATAGATAAGACAGATAGATAGATAGATAGATAGATAGATAGATAGATAGATAGATAGATAGATAGATAGATAGATAGATAGATAGATAGATAGATAGATAGATAGATAGATAGATAGATAGATAGATAGATAGATAGATAGATAGATAAACAGTTTTAAAAGCTTGAAAAGGGGGGAAATCAATTTGATTCTCAGACAAGCAAGGGAAAAATTAAGTCAATCTGAAAATGAAGTTTTTTAGTTTTTTAAAATTTATTGGGCACATATACATCACATCAAGATCACAAACACAGTCCTAAATAAAGAAAGACTAACT